CGGATGGTGAATTTTTAGGTGAGATTCTTCAATAATGTGCAGTAAACTTTTTTTTTTAAACACAATACATATTCTATATAATCCTTTTACAAATCGGTTGTCAAATGTCCACAGTGCTCAAAGTGTTTGAACGTAACCAGAAGAGAAAAAAGAAAAAAAAACAACCCAGTGCTTTGAATCACTTTCTAATCGTCAACACCAACAAGTAAAATGTTAGATGACACTATAGTGAAGGCCTATTCCATCTTTCTACACCAAAAACTTCATAATTTATTCTCTTTTGGCAGAAAACTGCCTGTGTGAGGAAAAAGTGCCTTTGTGGTAACATACCTAATAAATGTAATTAACTGGTGTTAACTAGATACTTGTCTAATGTTAGCCAAGTCAAACATACTGTACATTGCCAGATTTGATTTCATATTGATGATGTCAAACCGTTCACAGCACGTGAGATATGGGAAGGGGGTGGGGCTTCCTGGCCCTCAGTTAATATCGGAGAGATCAAAATACGCCTGCACAAATGATTCCAGATTCAAACGTCTGACTCGTGTGATGACTCACACGTACTCCAATGTGAAAATACGCAAAAGGTTGGCAGGTCTGGTAATATACTATAATATACTATAAAATAATCATTAAAAGCTAAATGTCGAGTAAATGTCACTGGTTATCAATGGATGCTGTGGCGGTGTAATATCGTGTAGAGACATGTAATTGTATTGTAATTGTATTGTTAAATCGTGTAATTGTATTGTTATATTGAGAAAGACGTTAACAGGACAAAAATTCTGCCCTGTCAGATTCTTACTCTGATGAATACACAAATATTGTATATTTTTCTGTTTCTAATGACGGGTAACCAGAGCAACATGAAAAAGTACAGTGGATATAAAATCTCTACACAATCCTGTTTAAATAGCATTTTTTGTGATGTAAAAATCTGATCTAGCAAACAATATAATTGAAGTGAAAAACAATTAGAAATGTTTTTTTTGGGGGGGGGGACAATAACCTCATTACATAAGTGTGCACACCCCTTAACTAACAGTGTTGCTTGTAATACAGCACTCTGTCTTTTTGGGTAAGAGTCTATCAAACAAGCACATCTTGATTTGACAATTTTATTCCACTCTTCCTTACAAAAATACTCCAGATCTAAGAGATTGTGCAGGGATCTTCTGTGCACAGCCCTCTTCAAGTCGTTCCACAGGATTTCAATAGGATTTAGAAGAATGCGAGGGATTGTTGTCACATGCGGGGAGAGAGCACTACCTGCCAGATCTTCCAGTAGCTTTATTTTTTGTGGTCTCTTTTGGAGGGACATCTTGTACTTGGTGATGTCATTGCTGTGTCCCATTTACCCATATACAACTTGTTGATGATGGCATACATGGTGTTCCATGGTACATCTAATGCTTTGGATATGCTTTGTACATTTCTTTTGTATTCTTTAGGCGGCTGTGGCTCAGGTGGTAGAGCGGGTTGTCCACTAATCGCAGGGTTGGTGGTTCGATTCACGGCCCACGTGCCGAAGTCTCCTCGGGCAAGGCACTGAACCCTAAGTTGCTCCTGATGGCTGGCTAGCACCCTGCATGGTGTGTGAGTGCGTTTGTGAATGGGTGAATGAGAAACAGTGTAAAGCGCTTTGTAGAACTGCTAGAGTTAGAAGTTAAGAAGTGCTATATAATTGCAGACCATTTACCACTCTCCTGATCTACACCTTTCAACAATGACATGCTTTGTAGACCATGGCTTCAGCTATCAGATGAAAGCAAAAAGAACTTTATTTGGAGTAAATCAGAACCACTTCTGATTAATCAGCTGTATGATAAATACTTTGAACGTGACTGGTTCATTCGGAACACGGTCACATGCCCCACTGTAAAACTGGTGTTCACACTTGTTCACGCTACTTGTTTTTCCCCGTTGATTTTTCTTGGTTGATAATTTATTATTTACACAATCACAAATACCTGCAATTTTAACAGGGGTGTGTAGATTTTTTTTATGTATATCTATTGAACGCTTCATGTTATTTCCACCAAAGGCCACACATTATTCTGGCAGTTTTTGTCCAATTTTAACATCTATTCCAAATCCATGTTCGAAACATCATCTTGTCAACTATATTTCTGAAACAAAACACAGAAGCTCAGCAGTCAAGCATGGCAGAGGGCTCACACACCTGCTTCTGGAACAGGCCCACTAATTTTTATTGATGATGGAACTCATGATGGCAGCAGCAGAATGAATTCAGAAGTTTACAGAAATAATCTGTCTTGAAATTTACAGAGAAATCCATCCAATCTAATTGGGAGAACTTCATCATGCAGCAAGACATCACAAAAGCATCACATAAGAAGAAACCAACAATCTGGTGATGTCAGTGAGTTGCAGGCTTGATACTTTTATTGAAAGCAAGGGATATGCGACCAAATATTAAGTGTTATTTACTTTAAATTACTATAAGCCTCTGTTCCTATACCTTTGCTCACCTAAAAATTGGGTGGTCTGATACAAATGGTTCTTCGTTTTTTGTTGTTGTTTTTTTTACACATCTAGATGGAAATATCAAGAAATGAATGCTGAAAGTCTGATCTCATTCATCTTTTCATCTCAAACCCAAAAGTCTTCAATGTTTAGCGAGAACAAGAGAACTGGCCTTGCTGTTCTAGTACTTTCAGAGGGGTCTTTCCTCATTCAAGTCAAGCCTAGTTTCGAATGACCAAAAATAACTCCCTAGGAGTGTTGCTGAGATAGCCGGCAAAAGGATGGACTTTATTAGATGAACTCAGTAGGACAAAGTAATCAGACGTGGGCAATGACTAACACATAACTGTCTCTAATCCAACATATGAAAATTGGGTCATTTGAAAAAGTTTTTGAAACACTAAAATTACCCAAAAGATTATTTACAATTACTTATGTTATTTATCTTTCATATAAGAAAGCTAAGCAGCAGAAAAATACTCTGAATTATTCATCTAGTGATTGGCGTGGTCTTCAAATTATTCATCAAGGAAAATATAAAGCAGTCTAAAATTGAACTTAAACATTTTTTCATTTCGACTTTGTGATGAAACTACGACAAAACATTTTTTTGCTCTCGTTTGCCTCTGAACTTCGTTGGTTGGGAAGGAAAAAAATACGTTTGAAATCATTTGGCACTTTACTGAAAAGTTCAGCTTTTTTTAACTTTTGAATGCAAGCAAAGTATTCTGCTTGCCTTGTGGTCGCTTCCTATAGGATTAACATGTTGGTTCAAAAAAAATTCAAAATAAAATAAATCCCAAGTGTGAAAGCAGCCTGATATCATTACGGAGTCCTGCAGTGAAGAAATATAAGCAAGATATTACCATCAGTACTGGTCAGGGCGAAGATTTCTGCCAAAGCTTGCTTCTTCCCAGCAATAGTCTTGGGTAACCAGTGCATGTCGACAGGGTAGATGTCCTCCTGGAGCTTCACCACCACACTGGTCTCGCTCGTGAGCAGGTTCCATTTTAAAATCTGATGGTCTTCACTACAGGAATAGACTTCATCAGCTGTGATCCAGCCCACACAACTGACCAGTTCTTTATGTGAGCAGCTGTTAAGGCAAACATCTAAAGTGTTTTACATTTACCTTATAGAAAACTTAATGTAAAGTTGTCTGTGTCAACATACTACTCTCGGGCCTCCCAGCCAGCTCCATCAATCCCCTTCAGATGATTCAGAACGCAGCAGCATGCCTCGTTTTAAACCAGTCCAAAAGAACTCATAATCACACCCTTATTCATCTCCCTCCACTGGCTTCCTGTAGCCGCCCGCATCAAATTCAAGGCCTTGATGCAACACCTTGCTGGGAAAAGCACTCCTCTACCTCAACACTCTCCTTGAGGTTTATGCTTCTTCACGCAACCAGCGATCAGTTAACGACCGACGCCTGATATAGTGCCTAGTCAGCGTGGCTCAAGATCCTTTTCCAGAATCGTCAAAATGACTGTCCCTCATTGGCGGAACTTTCAACCTCAATCAGCAGAAACTGGTACTATCTTCAAAAATGGCTAAAGAACCACCTCTTCCATGAACACTTAACTAACCCCTAACTTCATCCGCCTCCAACCCCCAGCCCCAATTAAAAACCAAAACCCCCCACCATTCTGCACTTACACCAGCTCTTACACCTATACTCTGTGCACTTTGCTTCTCTAGAACTCAATTAAAAAGCATGTATGGTAGCACAATTTATATTGTTCTCTGCTTCATATGTAGTTGCTTTGGATAAAAGCATCGGCTAAATGAATAAATGTAAATGTAAGCTTCATTCGTTGGCCATTTTTATTTTCCACATGTGAAATCATTTGAATAAGAGGAGTAAAACACTTCAGGATGTGCTGTTATAGGAAAACAATCAAATTCAGGATGGGAATAGTAATACCACTTCATCTTAGGCTGCATTACACCACCTCGTTGTTGATTAGTTTATTATAACATCCCTAACCTTTCTACGTCTAACGAAGCAGCCGGCAATAATAAAACACTTTCTAACAGACTCGTACCAGCACCACACACACTACAATGCTGCTTCAATATCATTCCACCAACCCGGATAGTATCTGGTCAAGGGTTCCTTTATCACTGACAAATTGTGCATAGGACTAAAGCAAGTATACCTACAAAGTACTGATAAAATGACTGCTAATGATTGATGTTACAAGATACGTAGACCTAATGTGCCCACTGAGTGTGTTGTAGTTCTTGTGAACCTACAAAAGTCTTTAAAAATTCACACATTTTTTGTGAAGGTGTAACTCTCAAAACTCTCGCTCCATGTGAACGGACATCCATAGGTGGATTGGCTATATGCTGAATCGTCCCAAGGTGTGAACGAGTGTGCGAATGTGTACTTTTACATTTATAAATTTTTTGCTTGCATTCCCTTCTGAACAGAGACACAATTTGAGTCAATTTGAGTTCAGAGTCACATGCATGACACTGGAATTGAACCGTATTGAAAGATGGCACACGGTGGCTTAGTGGTTAGAACGTTCGTCTCACAGAGTCGCCTCCAGTTTCGGGGGCTCGATTCCCACTGTGTGCGCAGAGTTTGCATGTTCTCCCCGTGCTGCGGGGGTTTCCTCCGGGTACTCCGGTTTCCTCCCCCAGTCCAAAGACATGCATGGTAGGCTGATTGGCGTGTCTAAAGTGTCCGTAGTGTATGAATGGGTGTGTGAGTGTGTATGTTGATTGTGCCCTGTGATGGACTGGCACCCTGTCCAGGGTGTACCCCGCCTTGCTCCCGATGCTCCCTGGGATAGGTTCCAGGTTCCCCCGTGACCCTGAAAAGGAGAAAGCAGTATAGAGGATGGATGGATGAACTTGTATGTGGCATCGGAATGGCTCTATAGTAGACAGCAGATCGTAAAGGCGATGCTGGCTGTGTTTAGATACACAGCTAATTCGATAATGAAAGGATATGCTTTGGCTCCTTCAGCAGAGATGTTTTGAATCTCATTCTGTACTTTCCTGTCGAGACCAATCCAGCTCCGGTGGACAGACCTGCAGGCAGATCAACTGACCAAACATAAGAACATACTTTTGTACAAAACTGATATATTACACAACTTATACACACAACACACTGGCCTTGATTCCTCTTATTTACATAGTATTTGATGTCACAATCTTACTGCACTTGATTTTAGTCTGTTCTGTACCTTGTCAGCAATTTACTCGAACACCCCCCCCCCCAAGCATTCCTTGAAATAATAATAATAAAAGAATAAAATGATAAATAAGCCTTGACTTGATCTGATTCATGTCTATGAAGGAGTAGCCAAGGGAAGACCTGGGAGCTGACTTACAAAGTGTATCTCGACAGCTTACACGAATAAATTATCGTGACATTAATAACTGCAAATCTGCAAAAAAAAAATACAAATAAATAAATTCATTAAAAAAAAGGAACAAGAAACGGTTAGCATGAATTCTTTTTCCTACTGTAGCGTGCCAGATCCCGTTGCCACGGTAACGCGTTGGCTAGACCTCTCTTTAGGTGTTACTCATCCCCCTAGCAACCTAGCTAACTGTTAGAAAAACTAAGATCCGATCTACAAATGTGCAGAAATAGAGGGGAACACCTGTAAAGATGTCTACATACGCTAAACCCAAACCTAAAGCACAGCGCGAACTGACAGAGTATACACACTTACTCGTGTTTTCTTACTGCTAAGCTATCAAGCTTCTCCCTGCCTTTCACTTCGCCAGATTGTCTCGCGAGATCAGGCGTATATCTCGCGAGATTAAAAAAAATCCCCTCACGAGTTCTCGTATGTTGTCGCGATAACTGCGCAAACTGCCATGGCAACAAACAATTATAGTGTCCGAACAAGCAAACGTTTCTACACGTCGGTTTGTTTAAATATATATATATTTTAAATAACCCGTAATTATTTATCACGTTGAGGAAAAAAACTAAACAAATTATAACTTCTCACTGAACTGAGAGTAAAAAAACGAGCACGCGCAGTCACCTTTTTTTTTTTTTTTTTTTTTAATTTGTGCTCTCCGGGACAGTGTGAGGTTCCCATGATGCTTTGCGGTAGATTGTAACGAATTTAGGCGCCATTTTCAAGCCGGAAATTTTTCCCCCCTCTGTGCAGAGTCCGAGAAACGAACGCCGCACCGTTTTCGCTTTTTTATTATTATTATTATTAAAACAAAAATAATAACAAAGCTGCACGACTTTCATTTGTGTGGATTACCAACGGAAAATATCGCCATAGAAGTCCAAATCTCCGACGGAAAATTTAAAGGTGAGCGTTTATATCATAATTATATTATTATTATTATTTTACGTTAGCTGGGGTGATAAACGTTATCCAGAGCATTAAATCTGTTTAACACCAACACACACACAGACTGTTGAGATGTGTTCGTTTGTAGTATAACTGGTATAATAATAATAATAATAATAATAATAATAATAATAATAAACTGTAATAATAAATGGTATGGCGGTAGATTTTTAGTCAAGTCGGCTGGTTAAGCTGTTAATCATGACTTTTTCTCCCCGACTTCTAAACGCAACCCATATCCAAGTAGCCCTATGTGCCAAGGTTTTGTGTTATTTATTTAGTTAGTTATTTATTTATTTAACAAACTTCGGTTAATGTTCTCAACATGACTTATCCACACACACACACACACACAAAAATCCACAAAAAGATGTCATTTGTTTCAGTGTTACTGTTTCTAAATATTTTTCGTGTGCAAACGAAAAGTTAAAAAAGAAAAAATTCCGGGGGGGTGTTGGGGGGGTGGAAATACTCAAACCCTAGCTAGCTAGGTGGGGAGGGAGGGAGACTAGCATACTGTAGAACTCTCAGCTCAGAAAGCTAGCCAAGCTACAGCACGCGCACTTCTGCGCGTGAGGTGTGAAGTAGCGAACAAGCGACGTTACACTTTTAAAATGTCGCCTAAAAAAGTTGTTTTGTGTCTCTCTTTCTCACACACACACAATACCCCCATGTTTCCTGACTAGCATTCACGGGTGAGCTTGGAGCACGCAGGTTGTCACCTACACGTACAGCTAGTAGTATCTCTCTCTCTCACACACACACACGCATATACATATATAATATTATTTCCTTACTGGGTTTAAAAATGTCTTAACTTATGTACGCGCAGTGTGAGGGGGAGTATAGCTGGGTACATGGCGTGTTTGGCAGCGTGCATTGGTGCGTCTTGCCTGGAGTTGACAGAGAAACGTCACCAAGTGTGTTTTCGTCGTTGTGGCAGCTCGCGCTTTGTCTGAGCGCCGAATTGTGTGTGTGTGTGTGTAGTTGGCCATCATGCAACACAAAACCATATTTTGCGGGGTGGGGTGGAGAATTCGCTACTTTTTTGAATTAGACTTGGCTCGTGCCCGCTTTGATGACTTTTTGTCAGGGCAAATTATAAGGAAGTTGTCTCGCGCGCGTGTTTTTATGCATTTGTTATTTTTAGCATTATTATTGCGCCTAGTTTTTAAATTAATTTATTAATTTTTTAATGGTTTTTAGTTCAGAACTTTCTTTTAACTTATCCTGAAGGAGAACTTGCGGTGTTTTTTTTTTTTCTCTTTTTCTTTCTTTCTTTTTTTTTTTTATTTTTTTATACATGACCGTGGGTTCTTGGTGCACTGACAACAAACAAAGAAGCAAAGTTTGCTGTGTGTTCGGGTGCAAGAACATACTTCAGAGTCGATGCATCGTTAAACACGTCCCAGTACGTATAAGGATGCTTTTGTTGTCGGAGTACACCTTCTTTTTTTCTTTTTTTACCCCCCTTTGCTTTTCTTTATTTTCGTTATTTTTACTTTGGGGTTTTTTTTTTTTTTATTCCGATAAAGGATGGATGAGCACCGGCTACATCTCGGATCGACTCTGATTATCGGATCTATTCCTCCTGACTGATTTGTCAGTACTAATCCCCCCCCTCCTTCAGATCTATACCTAGCATGCCCTCGAAAGCGAGTCGGAGCTGTTCGGTTGCGAAGCCCCGGGGGAAAGGGTCGCTGGATGACTCGGAAATAAAGCCTCATGCAGACGTGCACGCGGATGAGCAGGACGCACCGCAGACTAATGGTAAGAAACAAAGAAGTGCTTATTTATTTATTTATTTATTTACTCCTCATAAGCAGAACAAGTTGTTTTGCTGCATGTTGCGCTGTTTGTGAGACTGCTGGTCGTGTGTCAGTGCTCGGGGGCTGTGAGCTTCATCTGTGACTGATGTGTCGCGTTTCATTAGTTAAAGAAGGTGAAGATTCCTGCGTTTCAAACTGCTCGACTGTTTGTCTGAAAGAAGTCCATAGTGATGAGTGACCAGCCCTCAAACAATATAATAATCTAACTTTGTTTTTTATTATTTCATAAAGAGTGGTGACACCTACTTTTGTCTGAAGCCCTGGTGATCATGTGCATGATTATAAACTTTAATCCGAAAATGCTGATTTTTATTTACTTATTTATTTTTTATATATGAAATATATAAGGTAAGTTTTTTATTGTTTGTTTTTTAACATGTTTAAGCACAGATTAACTCTTGGCGTTTAACTTCCCAAATCCTTTTTTTTTTTTGCTCCACTTGTTTGTTTTTGTTTTGTTTGTGCTTCCCCTCCCCCAACTCGTGCTTCTACATACGAAATTGAATGTTTTTTGAATGGTGCGGAGTAAAAGTTTGTCCCTTCCTCCCCACACTCCCCTCCCCCGTCCCCCCTTCCCGGTGCAGATGCCGCTGGTGAGGTGGTGGATAACCGGAGACTGGAGGAGATTCTTGGTAGCATCCCTCCTCCTCCACCCCCCGCGATGACCAACGAACCGGGTGCTCCTCGCCTCATGATCACGCACATCGTCAATCGGAACTTCAAATCATACTGTGGGGAGCAGATCCTGGGGCCTTTCCATAAGGTATAATGACCAAAGATTTACACCACTGACTCTTCTGGTGAATTGAATGTTTTGAGGAATCTGGGTTTTTTTTGTTTGTTTGGTGTGTCCCCCGTCCCCGTCCCCCCTTGTTATTAAAATGTAATAAGTGTGTGTCATAAAGTAAAACACTCAGTAATCATCCTGTCTAGTCTTATGATCAGTTTCCTCAGTGGTGTTTTTTTTTTTTTTTTTTTTATTTCACTTCATATCTCACCCTCCATTTTGGTTTGTCCTTACTTTTCGCTCCACAGTACTCATGATGTTGAAGCTTGAATGTGAGATTTTTACACCTCTAGTTCTCACAGGGTAGCTCAGAGATCCCCAGGACTCGCTGAAGCATAGCGAACAGATCTGCTCATTTATTTATTTATTTATTTATTTATTTATACAGCATTTAGTTTTGAGGAATCACAACCCAGCATTACCAATGGATTTAGATTTATTATTGAGATCTTCTCATTATTAAGCCATTTGACTGGACAAATGAAATGAGAGTTTAATCCAATCCTAACAAATCAAGCCGTCCTATAAATAATGTCAGTGGAAAGTTCAGGGATTAAAAAAAAAAAAAAGCTCTACACTGACTCCAATTAATAGACCGAATATTATTAAAATAATTAGCCTAATATTT